AATGTAGCAGTTATTATATTTTTTGCTCTATAGTCATATTGAGCTTTCTTTTTCCCATCATCACTCCACTCACTCCAATATTTTTTTCTCTTCCCATCACTCTCTGATGGCATCCTTGCTAGCATTGATGGATTGATTGATCAATGTGAGGACACCTTGACTCCTTGGATCAAGTTCTTCAAAGGTGGCGTCTTGTTTAGAGAAGGAATATGGTGGAATGGATAAAAATGGAGAGTCTGGGTGAAGTGTTTGATGAAAGGTTTGAGAGGGCACTCTAGGGTTTGGCTCACTTCAAGGTAGATGAAGGCCACTTCTAGGGTTTTTCTCTCAAGGTGGAGATAGGATGGGTGGTGGCCGGATTTAGCCAAGGGTGACTAAGGATGATATAAAGGCAAAAATGCTCTCTTTATATTCAATTTCCAAAGTATTTACAAGGTGTGGTGCCTAGGGTATTTATAGGAGTGAGAGGCATCTAGGGTTGCATTTAGGGTACCAAATGCACACCAAATGAAACCTAAATTAACCCTAGATGCAACTTGGTGGCCAAGGATGAAATCTTTGGGTTTAGTTAGGCTACATCTAAGTGCATGATAAGATCATGCAACCTTTGCCCTCCACTTGGGCCTAAGCCTTTCTAAGTCCAAAAACATGTCCAAACACCACCAAAAATGCGTCTAGCTCCCTAATTAAATACCTTAGCCCAAAATTAAAAACCTATGATCTAAAGCACCCCATATGACAAGGGTAAAATGGGAAATACAAAAGAAAATAAATCATATGACTAAGATACCCCAAAATACAAGGGTAAAATAGGAAATTAAAGATAAGGGCAAAAATAGGAATAAAAATAAATGCTATAAAAACTTAGGAGCTAAGGCCCAAAAGTAGGCTTACTCCTCCTATGGTTTTTCAATACTAATCCATTCCTATTGCCTCCTTCAATATATCACCTCTTGGTCTTCTTGGCCTTAGTGTTATTCCATCACTCTCCTCAGTCATAGGAATATAGGGTCCATTTTCTATTGCATCCCATATAGCAATATCAATTGCTTCAATGAAGATTCCCATTCTAATTTTTCAATAGACATAATTCTCTCCATTGAAAATAGGAGGTCTATGAATAGAAACTCCCTCACCATAAGGCAAGTTATTATTAGCCATTTTTAAAATCTTGATTAACTTTCAAGAACCTTGCTCTAGATACCAACTGTTAGAAGAAGAAAAAAATGACTTGATTCAAGAGGGGGGTGAATTGGATCAATCAACACTTTAAAAAATTTATTAGAGTTATGGATCTTTATTAAAAAAAAACTTTTCTAAAAATAATTTCCAAAGAAGTTTATTGAAACCTTGGTATATGAGATATATTCCTATTTACTTTTATAACACTTCTTTAAGGATTCAATCCACAACCATGTTAACATGCACTAATTATACCTCAATTAAACCTCTAAATACACAAGAATATTAATGAAATGTGAACATATGTGAAGCAAGTTAATTTTTCAACTTAAAGATTGCACAAACTAAAAGAGTAAGGATGAGAGATAAGCGCAAGAGTATTTATCCTGGTTCAGCCACTCCACATGTGACGACATCTATTCCTCAATCATAACCTAATCAAGATTTGTTCCACTATCTCAATGAAGAAGTTTTACAATCACATCACACATGTGAAAGACTCCAACATACAAGATAGAACTTTTCTTACACCCAAGAAAGTACTCATTATAGTAACCCACTACAAGAACTCCTACACTTGAGAAAGCTACTCAAGTATCTTACCACACAACACAAAAAGATTAAGGAACGAATTCACCTGTAACTCCAAACTCAAAAAGATGAATTCTCTATTAAGTCTTTATCCCTTTTCAACAATGTTGGTGATGATGATGATAATCTTTCAAAACACTTCATTTAAAGATGTTTATTTCTTTGATTCATAAAGAAATCTATCCAAGAAGATCACACAGATCAAAATAGCTCACAAAGTTTTCACTCAAAATCACTTGCATGCATTTCTGAATGAGAAAACTATTTTTATAAAGTTTTTAGGCTCAGATAATCGATTATTTTTAAGGATAATCGATTATTTTATTCTTGGTAATTTTGAAAATCACTCAAGAACAAAATAATCGATTATTTTACAAGATAATCGATTATTTCATATATTACATTTTGGGATAATCGATTATTTCACAAATAATCGATTATTAAAGCAAGGTTTCTCATCCATTGAAAAACATAATAGAAATAATCGATTATGTTTAGTAATAATCAATTATTTTTAATTAGTTATCAAAATTTGATTTCACACATCCAGAAACTTTCCGAGTTGTTCTCAATCATCATCATACTCACTCTTAGAAAATTAGGATTAGGATTTGACTCATGCAAAAAGCATAACACTAACATGAACATGTATAGGATAACATAATCAAACAACTTAAGCAACAACTACTCATAAACTACTCTACACATAAACTATTCTTATTACACTTTTCACTTTCAAATACATTCATGATCTTCAATCTTCTCCTTTGTCAGATTTTGATTCACCATCTATGAATCTCAACATCTTCATCATAGAAACTCATCCTAAGGTCTTTTTCAACTATGTCTACAAAGGTATGGAGAAACTAAAACCATACTTGGATGATGTTCACTATATGAGATATGCTCAGCGCCATCAATTTAGTACCTCTAGTATAGACAAGATTGAATGCCTAACCTTTGCTATTGGAAGAATTATTCACATCTACCCAATCCCCTCTAGAACTATGCCTTCCATCTTCAACACTTTCTCTACTTATTGCAAGATTTACCGTTATTACTCCCCTTTTAATGTTTCATTTTATATTTTTCTCCCTTCTAATATTATTTTTCTATATAAAAAACATGTTCGTTTGTCTTCTACTAATCAACTAGGTCCATTTGCCCTACCCTAGACTCCTCCCATTATAATTGAAGAAGACAGGAACAACCTCCTTGTTGGTTTCTTTAAGGTTCTTCGATATGCTTACTAGAGGCAAGCCTACTATGAAAGAAAATTCCACAAGTTGCTTAGCCGTTTGAACATTGAGTTGAGCTTTGATTAAGAGGAAGGCTAATCTTAGGGGGAGTAGACATTATAAGGAGGAAGATTAGTTTTTGCTAGTGCCAAAATGAGGAATAGAAATTGTGTTTTTTGAACAATGTTTTTACTATGATTATAGTTTTCTTTTTTTTTTTTGCTCTAATTATAGTTTTTTGCCTTGATCTGACTCATAATAGTATGCGCTGATATAACAAATGTTTTTATCATGCATGTTTTCAGGAGGAGTCCCCTATGCATTTCATCTCATACTTATATATGCTTTGATATGTATGTTATGTATAAGTATATGCTCTTATAAATATAATAGGCTCTGTTGTGCATGATAGATAACATAGGATCTAATATGCATGATAGATAACAAATGCTCTAATAAGCACCATATGCTTTAATATGAAAAAAAATAATTTGATATGTTCACTTTGATAGGTTTTGAAATGAACAAGTATGCTAATACTCATATTTGCTCAAATATAAATAATGCTCTAATACGATTAATAAGATCAAGAGAATACATTGATATACATGTCTTAAACGAATGTATTCATAAAATCAAACAATTTGTATGATCTTAACACAACGTTTGAGAAATGTGCTTTTATATTACTGATAAAATTATAACACTTCCTCGTCTTAAAGAAAACCACATTTTGGATAAAAATGATTTTCTCTTATTAATATCTTTTCATTAAAATATTTTGTCTTAATCAACAAAAATATTTTATAAGTAAAGAAAAACCTTAATTTTAAAAAAATGTGTCTATTACCATCGAAAAGGGTGAAATTGTTAAGTTAATAGATGATCTTGGATCCTTTAAGCTTTCAAATTTTTAATAATAACAAACAAAACATTTTTCAAAGAGAAAATGTTTTTGAGGAATACTAATCAGATAAAACATAAGACACAATTTGTTAGACAGATAATGTGTCATCAGACGAAACATACAGTTGTCTATATAAAGTTTTATATGCTTATTATTTATAATAACTGATGACTACTTTTTGTATGTCTGAGTAAATAATAAGCATATAATACACTATGTGTTCTTACTGTTTACTTTTTCATTTGCATTCATTTCTACAATATTATTACTTCATTGTTTCAAGGAAAGTATGAGTTTTTGAGTGACACTACTCAACCCCCCCTTTTAGTGTCTCTCTTTTCTCCATAATTATCATGACCTGCAAAAATCTTGGGATGATAAATGAAAGAGATAAATAAAAAGAGAAAGAGAAAATGAGATAGAGAAAAAAAGAAAAGAGAGAGAGAGAGAAGAGAAGCTAAGATAGGGAAGAGAAGAGGAGAGATGGAAATAAAAAAAGGCGAGAAAGAAAGAGAGAGAGAAAAAGAAAATGAGATAAGGAAGGGGGAGATACAGAGAGAGAAACAAGAAAGTCTAGAGAGAAGATTCAAGAGAGAGAGAAAAAATAAAGAAAGAGAAAAGATTCAGGAAAAAAGGTTATGTAAAATCTCAAAAAAATTTGTGAGATTGTTAAATAAGTGAATTACATATATATTCTATTAAAAAGTCTCGCATAATCAATTATTTAAAATAATCCATTAAAATCTCTATGTCTTTAAATACTAACTAACTTTTTTAAAATAAAAAATATTAATTGAATATTAAAAGGTTTTGACGAACTTATAAAAAAATCATAATTATTTTAATTAAATATTAACAAATTTTCATGTACTCATAAAGAAATTATGATATCTTAATTAAATATTATAATTTTATATTAAAATTTTTTAATTAAATACTACAAATAAAAAACTCTTTTAAAATTGATTAAAATCTTAAACCTCTTAGTATGATTTTATTATTTTAGAGAAGAAAGATTTAAAACCTTTCCCTTGTCTAAGGGGTCAAGGGGTCAGAGCTTCTTCAAGACTTCAAGTGTTAGGAGCAACCCAACTCAAAATTCCCCACCTTTTTGGCATCTAGTCCTCCTGTTCAATCCCAAAGACCAAAGAAAGAGTAGAGGAAACAACTCAACTCACGAGAAAGAAAAAGAGTAGAAATAACCCAACAAATTCACACGCTCTTTCAACTTCAAACTCCTGGTATCGGTCGTTGATTTCGCATTTTCTCCATTCCCGAAGAGCACGTTGCACGCTGCACGTTGCGGCCCCTTCGTTAGACCAATTCGCCGCATAAACAAAACCCTTTTCTCAAGTTAACCCCCAAATCATTACCCCCCCTTTTCCCCCCTGAACTATTGGACATTGGAATTGTATATAAAGAAACAAGTTCATAAAGATCTGCCATGAGAACAATTCCCTTCCCTTCTTCTGCAAACTAAGGAATTACTTGCCTTCAATTCTGATAAATTGCATTGTAAGATTCTAATATGAGTGGCAATGACCAAACTTCTGGTGCTAGTCACAACATTAGGGCTTTAATTTCCAACGCTGCTTCTGGTGCTGCTGCTGGTAATTACTTTTTTTTTTTTTTTTTTTTTTTTTTTTTGTTGTTTTTCCCCCTTTTTT